TAACTAGCTAATTAGGCTAATCGATAGGGGCGATAAAGAAAAGGTAAGTTACGGTAATTAATATAGCACATTTAAGAGACCCATAGGTAAATAATTATACAAGCCTGGACGGAATCCTTGGAAGATTTCACAAATTTGAGATCTAGAAGTACCAACCTGGCTGGAGGCAACCAAATAATGGTTGGGAATCAACTTCTTACAGGACACCAACATTCCTTGAAAAGGGAACCCAGATTTATTCTGAGATGCAGAACAGCATGGTCTCAAATTCGTCAATTTTCACTCCGAAGTGCAGAAGGGATTTTTCGTCTTGTCCAAAGTTGCCTGAATGAATTGAAGAAATATAAGGAGTCATTCATCAGAGAGAAAAAGGGATTTACATACCTGTACGGCCGATAGTAACCTCACTTTCCAAAATCTTCACAAAAATCAACAATCAGTTGATTTTCCAAGAAACGTTCTAACTGACACGAAACTCTTTTGGCTAGTCAATTTATAAAAATATGGGCTCGATAACCAAAAATAAAGACAAAATTTTAAGATTTTTAAGATTTTAAAAATCTGGCTGGACGACTTTTTCTGGTCCCAAGAAAAAAAAAGAAAAGATCAAGTCAAAAGTACCCAAATGGTTCTGTCCTTCGTTTCTTGGTCTGTCAAGCCTAGCCTATCAAAATTATAAAAATGACAGCGCTACAGGTTTCTCGGAAATAACCTTAATAACAGAATTTTCGATATTAGGTTAGGAAAACTAGTCAGAAGAATCATGGTTGTCGCTTAGTGTACGAAATAGTACTTTCAAATGAGTCCAAAATATATAAAAATATTTAAGAACAATAATTATATTGTGTGAAATTTCAAATGTTACAATCTACGAGTCTTTTCTTCACCTTCGCCACGGTGTCATGAAGTCGCCACGCTGTCGTGAATTTCTCTTGTCGACGTACCGCGTTGTGACGTGGTTGGGCGTTGGCTTGCTTCAAAGGCGCCTTACGGCGTCGGTTCTTGGGCGTCGGTTTCGAGACGGCGCCTCCACCAAATATGTCACAACTGCCCGCTTTACGGGGGTGACATGGGGGGTTTGTAGCTTTGGGGGTTGATGGAGAGAAACTCGCTCAAGTTGTATAAAAGTGCAGATATATATTTTCCCAAATATGCCCTTACATATACGCTAGTCCTATAGGATGCATATGACCTTTCGAATACTGGGGTCCTTATAGGGAGCCACACGTCAACGCTGCTTGGGGGACTGTCGATTATTTATCGTCACCCTCATGACTTGTCCAGAGGGGCTTTCCCAACGAGAGGTAATTGCGCTGAAGATACCCGGAGGGGCTTTCCCAACGAGAGGTACTTGCACTGGGGAGACTTAATTCCAGAGGAGCTTTCCCAACGAGAGCCAGTTGCACTGGTTTAAGTCTGCCTATTGCTTGACTTGGCCAACTATTTATATCAATTTATTGCTGAGTTGCAATAAACAACCGATCGAATCGGCAATTTAATTAATAAGAACAAAGGGAGAATTTTTGTCGGTTATAGGTACCGAAACTAGTTTTACAAAGAAAATTTGTGGAAATTAAAGTCAAAGGAAAATTGAAAAAGTTGGGGTTTGTGCAGGATTTGAACCTGCGACCTCCGCATTGCTAGTACGACACTCTACCAACTGAGCTAACAAGCCCGCCTGGTAGAGATCGGCGAATACATGATCACTTTCATTCTCCTCCCACTCACCCCAAACGTTTTTCAATTTTCCAATGGCTCACGAATGTGGCATCGGTCCTGCTAGGGTAAGTCACCTATACCACTATGTGCAGGTTTCGTCCACGATATGTTAAAATTTCTTATGTACGCCATGCGACGTAAGCATAGTTGAACAAAGGGAGAATTTTTTTTCGGTTATAGGTACCGAAACTAGTTTTACAAAGAAAATTTGTGGAAATTAAAGTCAAAGGAAAATTGAAAAAGTTGGGGTTTGTGCAGGATTTGAACCTGCGACCTCCGCATTGCTAGTACGACACTCTACCAACTGAGCTAACAAGCCCGCCTGGTAGAGATCGGCGAATACATGATCACTTTCATTCTCCTCCCACTTGGAAAATTGAAAAACGTTTGGGGTGAGTGGGAGGAGAATGAAAGTGATCATGTATTCGCCGATCTCTACCAGGCGGGCTTGTTAGCTCAGTTGGTAGAGTGTCGTACTAGCAATGCGGAGGTCGCAGGTTCAAATCCTGCACAAACCCCAACTTTTTCAATTTTCCTTTGACTTTAATTTCCACAAATTTTCTTTGTAAAACTAGTTTCGGTACCTATAACCGACAAAAATTCTCCCTTTGTTCAACTATGCTTACGTCGCATGGCGTACATAAGAAATTTTAACATATCGTGGACGAAACCTGCACATAGTGGTATAGGTGACTTACCCTAGCAGGACCGATGCCACATTCGTGAGCCATTGGAAAATTGAAAAACGTTTGGGGTGAGTGGGAGGAGAATGAAAGTGATCATGTATTCGCCGATCTCTACCAGGCGGGCTTGTTAGCTCAGTTGGTAGAGTGTCGTACTAGCAATGCGGAGGTCGCAGGTTCAAATCCTGCACAAACCCCAACTTTTTCAATTTTCCTTTGACTTTAATTTCCACAAATTTTCTTTGTTAATTAATAAGGTTGAATACCGGGTCCTCCTTTCCTGAGCAGCTAGTTGACAATATTGTGGATAATTATGGATTGTGAGAAGCTAATTTGCGAGGTGAAAGAAAGAAAAGTATTATGGGATATGAGAGACAGCAGATAGGTACCTATCATGTTAGAGACGTCCAACGTGAAAGAAGGTTGCGCAAAATATGGATGGTGAAGGTATTAGACCCTGAAATAGGGCCTGTTTAGTGGAGTAATTTTTTTTTGTCTGGCATTTTGAATGATAATCGATGAGAGATTTTAAATTGAAATTGAAAGATATCGGAACTGAAAATTATCTTTTTTCACCTTACCTGGCTTTACTTCTAAACTCCACTCAGCTGGCCAACTCTTTCAGGAAGTTCAAGTCCAATGCGAAGGAGTACAAACGAAACCATCTTGATTGAAACCGGCAGGGCCGGATTAACCATAAGGCGGAAGTGGGCGATCGCCCAAGGGCGAAAAGTCAAAGGGGGCGAAAAATTCAAAAAACCCCCAATAAAAATAAGAGGAAAAAATTCAGAAAATCAGACAGCAAAATGACAAAAACTCGACTTCCTTCACATAATATGACAAAATTTTGATCTTGGAACTGGATTTTTGTATAAATTTGTTATAATATTAGGTTAGTTTTGGTGTAGAGAATCGTTTTGGAACAGTTCGCACAGGCGCAGAAAGTTTTTTGCGTTTTGGTTTTTCCAGAATCAATTCCGAATTTTTGATTCGCTGTTTTGGTTTCTGGACTACGCAGTTTGGAACTGTTCTGGAATCATTCTGAGGGTTCGCGCCTGTGCTGTGAGAAGGGATTGTTTGAGAATTGAATAATTCGCACATGCGTAGTTGCAATCAACCTTATTTCTAGGACTAGGATTGGGTATTTCGGATATTTTAAGCACAAAAGCTTTATTTGGTTTTGGAAAATTATGAATATCAAGCGGATCAAGCCATTTATACTAGTAGGACTATCTTTTTTAATCCCAATTTTCAGTTTAATAATCAAATCAAAATCAAAAAAGGAGAATCTGATTATACTAGTAGGACTATTATTTTTTTCAATCCCAATTTTCAGTTTAATAATCAAATTAAAATCAAAAAAGGAGAATCTGTCGTGATGCAAAAATGCGTTTTGATTCACTACTTTCATGAATTGATTCCGAACAGTTGTGAGATTGATGCGAGTGCGCAACTAATTCTGCTTGATTCTAGAATCATGTCGTATTTACGAACCAAAACAAATTTATTTATCTGATGAAGAAATAAAAACAAAAGCGCAGCGATTTGAGGAAACATGTAAAAACGATCTGGAGGATTATTTTCCTCAGGAATGTCTTCATTATAAATATTCTCTGATTTCTTGTGGTCACGATGGCACCTTAAACTTGGGAAAACTTCTACAAAGTTTAAAGTCTGAAAAACTAATCTCGACATTTGTCAATATCGAGGTATCATTGAGAATGTATCTTTATCTTTACCTTTCATCGACTAACGCGTCTGGAGAGAGGTCTTTTTCCACCCTAAGGAGAATTAAAGACTATCTTAGAAACACACTTTCAGATGAAAAGACAAGTGACATGGCATTAATCAACGTGTCTCATGCCATCTTTAACTCAAAATACTAAGTATTCGTCTTTTTTATATTGAAAAATCTTCAAATGACAAAATAAAATATAATGATATAAGCCAGAGCCTGGAAGGGGGCGAAATAATTCTAATCACACAGGGACGAAAAAAGACTTAATCCGCCCCTGGAAACCGGTCATGGCAAACGAAAAGTAACGGTCTATTTTCTCGAACAGCACGAAACGGACGTAGTGTTTTTGGCGACTGACTTTCCGCCGGCCGTGTAAGGACTTTGCAGCTATCCTTTTCCAGTGCTTAACGCGCGCATTCTTGAAGGCCAAATTTAGTAAAGCCGTATCAATTCTTAGGCATAAGACGCGCAATTCAATTAGAATAAGAAGAACGCAAAGTTGTACGACTACGCATCCATTGGACGGCCAGTCTTAGACTTTTTAATAACTAGTAAGCGTTTGGGCCAATCAAATGTATGAATAGGGGACCTTTGTCCTCATACCTTCAATAAATAATTGTTCCATACGCTCCCTGTAGGACTCGAAATCGCCTTCAACCTTCAAAGACATTAATATGTTCTATGGAACTCACAAACGACTGCATTTTTATAACTGGTGGGTTTTGTTCCCTTGTACCAGCCAAATTGACCAGACAAATTGTCTTCACTCCTGACCTGACTTAACTGTGTTTATGGCAGACTCCTGTCTCGTCGCCAAACTGGCTGGACTTTTTCGAAAAATATCTGACCAAAATAAAAAGTTTCAGATCTTAATACTACAGAACAAATCCAGAGTTGGGTGAAGAATCATTCAAATGTAGTTGCAGCTGATTTACGTAAGTGATAACTATCTATTTTGATATAGGTTTAATATACATTTTATAGGAGCATTGGATTGGTCAGAACCCAAAATCCTAGACGCAATAGATTGGAGAGACGGAGATGGGCCGATTGGTACGTATTCTCACCGATTGTTCATTGACCATTTCATCAAAATCCTACATGTATCTCTTTATATTTTATTGTTCTACTATAAATGGCCCAAGAGTTTCCCTTATTCCACTGTTGCTTTATCTTTTATCTACTTTTGATTTTTCTGTTGTTATCCTATTCTATCCAAATTAATAGCTACCTACCCACGTTGAAAACTATTTATTTTAACAATTAAAATTAAGGACAATTTTCAATGCGCCCTTTTTGTTCTTCTTTACAGCCAAATTGAGGTCATTTGGTGAACATTTAAAAGGTAAGTTCCACGAATTTAAAAATTATCAAATGAAACATTCATAAATAATTATTTGTTTTTATAGATTTTGTAGCCAACATTCTTCGGAAATTCATTGAGTTTTTGAAACAGATAAATCTACCTCTAGGTAAGTGCGAGTTTAAATTTAGTTTGAAGCTGCTAATTTCATTATGATACTTTTAATTGGTTACATCCACTAGTTTTATGTTGAAAGTTTCGGAAGAACGCAGAAATTTTTATTTTAATAATTTATGAAAATCTTTAATTATTGTAATTTTTATTTTCATTATTCATGTACCCTAAAATACATGTACCTACTACTTTATTTAAATTTTATTCATCCCAACATAATCGTACAATAATTCAACCATTTCATGGTTTTTCTGTTAACTTTATCTATACAGGGTGTTTTCTAATCGAATATCACTATTTTTGAGCAGGCGATTTTTGAGTTCATTTCCAGAAGAAAAAACAACTTTACATTATCACGCTACAGAGTTTTTATAATTTATAAAAGGAAATATTTTTCTTCAAAACGGAACATTTTAAATTTCCAGTCAAAATTCAGTTCACTGACTTTTGAAAAAACTGCTAATCGTTTCCTTTGATAAAGTTAAACACTTTAGGTTTAATCAATATACAGGGTGTTCCGAAACTATTGTGAAATAAATTAAGGGATGATAGATCGCGCCAAAATAAACGTTTTTTACTTATAAACACATGGGCGCATGCGCTTTGGCTATGTGATAATAGAATATTACAAGTCGCGCTGCGGTAGCCACCTTACACACGGAGAAACGTGTTTGAAGCAGAAACTGTGTTATTAAATGATGCAGAACTTAAGGAATGCTTGCAGTATTGATTAAAAACAATGATTCACAGCAAAAGATGCCTAAAGCTAGGACCATCCACCTCCATACGTGCGTGACAGCGCCGTAGCATATAGCCTCCTGAACACGTTGAAAAATTCATGGTGTTTCGAGAATTTCAGCAGCTGCTGAAGCAATCCTTCCTACTAACTTCCTCTAGCTGTTTCAACTAGAGTGTCGTAAACAAGAGCTTTCATACGACCCTATAAAAAAAGTCGCATTCCGTCAGGTCTGGTAAACGTGGAGTTCATGCCCTCTTAACAATCACTCTTTCCAGATGTTTCGTTGAGATGTTCTCTTGAGGCTAACAAGTAATGTGGTGGTGGTCTGTCGTATTGATACCCTATATTTTGTCTGGCATACAGAAAAACAGTTTCGGGATGGGTTTCCTGCAAAAATCTACTCGATATTTCTGCTACAACGCTGTAACACATGCACTGAGACGGGTGGTTGTAGTTTTGAGCATCTTTTGATGTGAATCATTATTTTAAATAAATACTGCAAGCATTCTTTGGGTTCTGTATTATTTAATAACACAGGTTCTGCTTATTCAAACACGTTTCTCCGTGTGCAAGGTGCCTACCACAGTGCAGACTGTAATGTGCTATTATCACCTAACCAAAGCGCATGCGCCTATGGGTTTATAGGTAAAAAACGTTTATTTTGGCAAGATCTATCATTCAATCTTTCGCACAATAGTTTCGGAACACCCTGTATATGTTAGATCGCGACACACCGAATTAATTTTTTAAAAAAGCTTTTTATTACTTCAAACTAACATAGATTCGACAATGATTAACACCTAAAACTTAACTAACTATTTCTAATACAATTTACCTACTAATTTAATTACGGAGTCAGCATAGTTCTTACGGGAAATATTGGTTAATTCTGTATATGCCGACGAGGCTTCTTGGAACGTCGTGACGTGATGGCCTGTTGCGTAATCCAAGAGGCATGTGGCTGCTGCTTGGGCGAACGAGGTCGTATAATATTTGGATATAACAACTCCCCATTTTAGTCAAAAGTTAGTGCCTTGCAGTAACTTTTTAACTTTGGACTTGGAGCTCAAATTCTTCGTCGAATGGATCGTCAACACGGATGTTTGGCCTCCTTCTGGGTAGGAAATTGAAGCTTCTGAACTTAAAAACCACAACAATGGTGCAGGCGCAGGAGGTTGGTCGTTACCGTAGTTTCTCATGGTAATCATTGGTAGTCTCCTGCGTCTACATTTGAACAGAATATGAAGAGCAGCAAATGTTAGTGTTAATATTATGGTCAGGATGGTAAACCAAGATAGGTGCCGATCCATGAAAGGTACATTAATGATCTTGTCCAACTCTTCTGAATATTGATCCAGCTTGTGTTGGGCTATGTTGAGGTCATCTATGTTGATTCTGTTAAGTTTCAAAGGCCTGATGTCTAGAATCGAGGCCTTTTCTGGAAGATGTTCACAGCACTGGTAGGGAATCTGGATTGGAATATTTTTTTGTATTCCACTGTCTGGTAGGTGTCGATAGAACGTTTGGCATGTACTCTTGTGCTTCCTATAAATGCATTGCAATCTGGCTATAGTTTTAGCAGAGTATTGGTGTGGACGATTTTTGTGAAGGTTTCTTTTCCTTTGCACTTGATAGTTATCGGTAGTGGGTCGGATCATGGCTATGAGGAGGTTGATCTGACATGTTTTAGGAAACACATGATTTGATATTTTTAGTATCTGTGCTTCGCACATGGAGTGGCTGTCGATTGGGTGTGGGAGTAGGTCTGGACATATCTTCTGGTTTCTTCCCAGCGTTTTACAGTTCTTCAGGGTTTGGGGTGCTAGGTAGAGCATTGAATCGTCGTCTTTCGCGACAAACTTTCGAGTGATAGCAATGATGTAGTGAAACCCTGTTCGATTATCCGGGATGGGTATTGGATAAAGGTGATACCTACATAGTGTAAGTTTCTAGTTCAACCAGAGGGATCTTAAGAACAAATATAACCTTGGATTTTCATTGATACGCCTCTAAATCTATGATGTCCATGTATTTTGCGAGGCTAGAAGAATAGGCCGGTAAGGGTAAATTATTCTTCTGAAGGGATTGAATCATTGAGATACTTGTTTTAGAGAATCAATAAGATCGAGTGGAGTAATTATAGAGCTGTGGAAAATTTTTAATCGTGTAAATGTTACAGCTTTTAGGATATCATTAAGAGAATTTTCAATAAAAGCATAACTTTCCATGAGTAGTTCACACAGGTTTAGAGTGTCCACTTTTGCGTTGCAAAATGCAAGTTCGTCTGAGATGTTCATCATGATTTCTTGGATTTTTTGGGCATTTTTATTAAAGTTTTCTTCGTCAATTTGAAGCTTTTGGTACTATTAAAACTCTTCATAACGGACGTTGTGATAGAAATGATTTTTGAGAAGAATTTCAAAATGCCTTTCGTCCCTCGAGAGTTTTTCTATACAATTGTTAAAATATTCTACATCCGTTGCGTCTAGATTTCCAATAATGAATTTCCAGACGGTTCCGGAGCCATTGAGAATGCCGCGCTCACTCCTATAAGCATAACTCTTTGTATCTGAAATAATTTCTTTGTATTTGAGATTGACATAATTGGAAGTTTGTCCAAGTAGGCTAACGTGGGTTTGTACTTCACTTTTAAAAGCCACTATACGATTTGAATCTTGTTTGATGTTGACAAATCTGTCTAGAAGACTATTAAGAATGTTGTTGTTTTTCGTAATGGCATTTCTGATTGGGAGAAGTTCCTTATAGACTAGCAACATCCATTTGAAATTAGAAACCTCAATGGATCCTTCCTCATGGAGGAAAATTCCGACAGTATTATTTATGGCAGTTATGGTGAACTGGGACAGGACGGCTGTAAGCAGCCCGTAGAATCTACAACAAGAGTTTTTATTTAGAATACAGTTTTAGCCTGACAAAATTTATTTTGGAAATTTGATTTATTTGGGGATTGACAAGTTTTGCTGAATTTTGGGAAAATTCGATTATTTCGAATGGGCCATTGAAAAGGTTTTCGGCTTTAGTTTTTATTTAGGAATCTTTAACATATACATTGTCTCCTATGTTATATTCGTAAGGGCTTTTAGCTTCGACGTTTTTAGAGACTTTTTGATCAAATCTAACTTTAGATTTCTCCCTTTGAGTTTGGGTCCGATTTTGAGCTAATTTGGAGTAATATTCCATGCGGTTCTTTACGTCTCTCACATATTTTGTTATAAGTTCTTTTTAGTTGTAAAGCGTTTCGGGCGGTCTGGATGAGGTATGTCTTAAAATAAGCTCAAATGGGGTGAAACGTGGGTTTTGTTTTTCATGTTGTAATACATTATACATATTACGGCGAAGGGTAGGACGATGTTGGTCCGGACTATCTGCATGGTAGAGTCTGATCATTTCTGCAAGTGTGGCATGGAATCGTTCTATAGAGCCATTTGATTGGGCATGTCCCACACTAGAAAATGTCAATTTTATTTCAAACAACCGGCAAAGGTCTTTTATTAAGGCGTTTTCAAATCCACATCCTTGGTCACAATGGATCCTCAAGGGGGTTCCATAGTGTTAGAGAAACAGTAAGATTGTATTATTTACAGTTTTTACTGTTTTGTCACTAATTGGATAAGCTTGAATGAATTTTGTTAGTTCGTCTCTTATTGTAAGTGCGTAGTTTTTCGTTGGGTATTCGAAAATGTCTATGTTTATTCTTTCGAAGGGAGTTTTCGCTGTTTCGGTTATCATCAGAGGTCTGTTAAGGTTTCTTCGGCATATTTTGACTTTTTGGCATGCTTCACAGCGTTTTATGAAGTTCTCTACGTCTTTGACGAGATTAGGCCATGTGTATTTTGATCTTATGCGTCTGACTTTTTCATTAATGCCTCTATGCAAGTTTGTTTTTCCGCGGTGATATTGGTCTAAGATATGAGGTATTTCGTCTTCATTTGGAGTTACTATATCTTGACATATTTTGAATTTTATCTCTGTCTGAAAATATGAGGCATAGTTCATCAAGAATGGGACGTTCCAGGTTATTTTCGATGCAATATGTGTTGGATACATCGAATTTGTTCTGGTCTATGAAGAAAATGTAGAATAGTTCTGGAACAACTCTTTCTGGATCGAATTTCACATATCTTCTATTCCTAACAGTTTTGCTAGCAGCGGTGTTAATTTGCCTGAATTTGAAATCTAGATTTTTTCAAAAATGTCATTTAATATCGTATGATGCAAATCGCTTAGTTTGTTTTATCGCAAAAATGTTATTATGTCTTTATGTGATTTATGCAGAAGTTTCAAGTTTGAGAATTATATCTTTGAATAGTCTATGAGTGACCTAGATTTGTATAAATCTACAAATCTATTATATTCTTCATCCATTCCTTCATTATCAGTCTCATCTGGGTCGCCTGATTCTGTTTTCTCCTCAGTTTGTTCTTCGTTAGAGGCAAGAATTCTCGAATTGAACTTGATGCATTCTTGGAAATGGTTTAATTTAATTCTGGATAGGGCATCAGTATTTTTGTTGATTTTCTCTGGCTTATGTTCTATTTTGTAATTATATTCATCGAGTTTCAGTCGCCATCTTGCTAATCTACTCCCTGGATCTTTAATAGAAAAGAGCCAAATTAGAGGTCTATGGTCAGTGATCAGGGCAAACTACCTTCCAAACAGTAGGGTCGGAAATGTTTGACAGCCCAGACAATGGCGAGTAATTCCCGCTCGATGGTGGAATATTTTGTCTCCGCATCACAAAGGGTTCTGGATGCGAACGCTCTTGTTGGGAGATCTTTTCCGACAGGTCTCTGTGACAGGACAGCGCCTATAGTGAAAGCACATGCGTCTATTGTGAGAAGAAAGTGTTCTTCAAAATCTGGGTATATTAAGAAAGGGTCAGAGATTAGGGGTTTTTGAGCTCGCTCGCTTTTGCGAAATTTGGAATGAAGCGGCGGTAATATCCAGCAAGTCCAAAAAATGATTTTATGTCCTTGTGGTTTTTGGTTCTGGAAAATGACGGATGCAATCTACTTTAGAGGGATTTAGTTTCACACCATCCTTGGTAACGAGATGGCCAAGGTATGCGACTTCTTTGCGCAAGAATTTGCATTTGTCTGGTTGGATTTTAAGATTTGCTTTTCGATGACGTTTGAGTCTGTCTATGTGTTCATGGATAGTAGGTGAATAAATGAAGATGTCCATGTTGACCAGACATCTTTCAATTTGAATGCCTAAGAGAATATTGTCCATGACGCGCTGGAATGTGTACGGGGCATTCTTCATCCCAAAGGGCATACGGACGAATTCATAGTGGCTATTTTCCACTGGAAAGGCGGTCTTTGAAATATCAGTTGGTTCAATTTCGATTTGGTGGAAACCAGATGCAAGATCAAGAGTCGAGAAATACTGGCATTTTCCCAGTTGATCAAAAAGATCTAGATGTTAGGGAGTGGATATTTATCGTCGACCGTTAGCTCGTTCAATTTTCTGTAATCTATTACTACGCGTCATTTCTGTTTTTCAGAGGCGTCCAGTTTTTTGGGTACTACCCAAACTGGAGAGGACCATGGTGAAGTAGAGTGACGTATGATTCCTTGGTCGAGCATCATATTTGCGTTTTTATCTCTTCTTTGTGCACTTGAGGGTACCTATAGGATTTCGTAAAAACTGGCCCAGAATTGTTTGTTTCTATGGTATGCTTTACCTCGTTAGTAAAGGTTAGTGCATCGCGTTCTAAATAGAAGATATCTGGCGTATTCTAGACAAAGTTCTGTTTTCTTGTTTTTCTTCAAAATTAAGATGTTCGGTTCTCAATTCGTTCTTAATTAACAAATCAGGATTTATTAAGAGAAATAAAAAACGAAAGTTTAACACAAAATAGCATAATGAATAAATAAATAAAATAAACAAAATAAAATTGAGAATTAAAAGTCAAATCAGATTGCGATATAAAATAAATCAAAAAATTTTTGATGTTACTTACATTACTTGAAATGACATAACTTGTCACTACACACTTGTACTTTCTCGAAGTCTGAGTGGGTACTGTCCCTGCCCTCATTCGGTTCTTCAATGTTAATTCTCTGATAAGTCAGCATAATTGATTCTAGTTTTAGAAAACATTGAACTATCGTTCTGATGACGAATCGAAGTTACAATTATAATTATTGATTAAACCGAAATTGTTTAACTTTACAAAAGTCAGTGAACTGAATTTTGTGTTAAACGTCTTAACCTCTGAGATACAGGGTGATAAAGATTTCGAAAATAAATTATTTGTCATTAACACCACTTTACATATTTTAATAAAATTAGGCATTCATGTACTTATCAAGAGAAATCAGTGGCGTACTATCGATGTCTGCCAAAATAGGCAGGCAGGATACTTAGTACATGTATGCAAAGTTCATTAAAAGATCTGAAGTGGTGTTACAGATAGGTACTAATAATAAACGATTTATTTTTGAAAACTTCATCACTTCAAAAGTCAAGACGTTTAGAACATATGTTTATGTGAAGTGTTTTTCTTAAAATAAACCTAAAAATTGCCTCCTTAAATATCGACATTCAATTAGAAAACATTCTGTGTTTCTTTTTACTTAGATATTGTCAAATTTATACAAAATATATTTTGTTCCTATTAATTTAGGACGTACGATAACAGCGTTCTTAGAATCATTATTGCCTGAAGAAGATCCCGGTGACGACACGTATATAGAAGGTATCGCGTAAGAAGTTATTATTGTAAATAATGTAAAAAATATTGAACATAATTTTCAGATCCACCCGAGGATCCAACTTATCTTAATACAACCAAAATAGAAGTTGGAAAATTTAACCACCATATTAAAATTAAAAAAAACTTTTGTGAGTAGAATATTCATAATATTATAGGTATTCATTTCACATACAATCATCTTTTTTTTTTCAGATTTCTTATCGAAGGAAAACGCTTCTTGGCATAGGGCATCGGATAAATGTAGAGCCTTAGGCATGCATCTGGTATCTTTATTCAGTGAAAAAGAAAACATGGATTTACATCACGTAATGCGGACTCATCCTAGTTTGAGTACGTATGGGCAATCAAATATTTAAAAAAAAAAAATATATTTTTTTTTTTCGCCTCTTTCAGAGGGAAAGTTTACGGAAGATTTTTGGATGGGCGGCATTTACACGGATATGGATGAATCGGAAGACGATGAGGATGAGAATGATGATTTTGATCATAGGAATGGGAATGATGATGATTATGATGATACGGAGGATAATGATGATTATGATGATACGGATACGGATGATGATTATGATGATACGGATGAGAATGATGATTATGATGATAAGGATGAGAATGATGATAATGACTCAGATTGGGGCTCAAATTGGAACCTAGATTGGAACAAAGAATCTTCAGAAAAGGATAATAATAATAATAAGAATGAATCAGATTCAGACTCAGAAAAAACGGAAGAACTTGCACCATTCGAATATACATGGTATCCATCTCAAAAAATATTCACTTTTGACCGATGGGAGGATGATCATCCCTTAAATGGAACGAAGCCCTGTGTAAAGGTAAAATATGTTTCGTGAATAATTTTATTCTACATAATTTTTTTTTTTTTTTTCAGTTCACGTTTCGATTAAGCGGATCTACATGGAGGAGTGAACATTGTTTTACGCCATTAAGATACGTCTGTCAAAAGATTAAAAAGTCAAGAAGATCGTGAATAGAAAAAATGAATTTGCTGCTTACTTTTGCACTAAATCCAAATATATAATTCTGAGTAACTAATGGTGTTTTTTTTTTTTTTTTTTTTAATGTATGCTTGATCATCAGCGCCAATGTCTGTTATCTGTTTTAGTATACCATGTTTTATTATATGGAAATTATCGAATGCTTCAGAAAGCTACGATGATAAGTGTCAGAGACGGTTTTTTGATATCCAAAGATTTCTGAATTTGGATTGTTACAATTTCTATTGCTTTCCGTCGATCCTCCTTCTCTAAAAACATACTTGTTGTTTAGATAAAAAAAAAATCTTAGCGGTTTTTTATTAGTTTTACAAAGATTTTAGTAAAATTCGTTATTGAGGATAAAGGACGGTAGCAAGAGACGTTCGTTTCGTCAAGGTTTTTTCCTAGGCTTATACAAAGGTTTTATTATTCTTATTTTGAAAGAGTTTGGAAACAATACTGATTCAAAAGATTTGTTAATTTTAAATTTCAGAGTTTATGCCATCTATTTTGATATTAATTGTATTTACTCTGTTTTAATTTTATCTCGGAGCTTTTTTCTCTTTTAATTCCTTTATTAATTTTATCTTTTATTTTTTTACAACCTGTCTCTATCAATTATTTGTCTGTCGTTTGTCGTTTATTTTTTGAACTGTGTCTTATATTTCTTACGAGTCTTTGTCATTTTCAATTTGTTTTGATAATTTTTTTGTATTTTTCTATGTTTGTTCTTGGTCATCGTTCTTTCATGTTTGGCGTTTAATATTCTTAACAATTCTATCTCGATTAAAATATAATTTAGTTTTTTGTTGTTTTGTTCCTTCTGTAGTAGTCTTGTGTGGAAGAACTTTTTGTGAGAATTTTATTTAATGGTCTGCTATAATTTGATTCAAGTAAAAGGGGGCAGACCAGAAAGGCCACATTTGACCTGCCAAAAGTTTTCCTATAGAAGGCTAAAATTCCTGCTGCTGATAAAGATAACTTGGATTGGTTTTCTTTTGGTTTTTTTTTTGCTTTTCTTAGCCATGCTGATGAGACCTGATAGGTCGAAACGCGTCTATGGATGGAAAAGCAGAGAAAATCAATCCAAAATTTTCTCATCAGTGGATAATAGGTTTTCCTATTCTGGGTTTTCCCACGAACTGAATTTTGATCGGCCGATTAGATAGTCAATCACTAAATTACAGCAAAAATTGCTGTTTAGTGTTGAATCTTTGTCTTAGATGGCGCCACGATCAAATTTCGACCGTTGTGATAAAGATGAACTCGGGTTCACCTGAAAATGAAATATGCTTAATATTCCAAATTATCCTTTAGGTAATTGAATATTTAGGATTCATGGGAGAAATTTAAGAAATAACACTTAGTAGGTACTTGTTTACTAGTAGCTGCGCAGGTATAAAGTATTTGCTTTCTGAAAACTTAAATCTCCAGTCGCTCATACGTCTAATATAGGAGAACTTCGATGGCGTTACAAGTTAGAATATTTTTTTAAAAAAGTGCAACAAACATAGCCATGAAGCTGGCAGTGAAAAACTGCTGAATCGTTAACAAGTGACACAGGTAGCGAAAAGGAAGGCTGTCGATAACATATTGAAAATACTTCTAATGAATTAAACAGGTAGGTATACTACCTATATAGGTGGCCCTTTCAGGCTGTGTATTTTTTACCCAAATTTTAATCGTGGCGTTTTTGGGTAGTACTGGTCGGGGAGACTTATTAAAGTGGCCTTTTTGGGCAACTCCCAGATAAAACAGGTAGGTATAGTTTTCCTTCTAAAAAAAATGAGGACTGTTTGGTGTAGTGGATATGAAACCTTGTTGACAAAAAACATTCAGATAATACTCTTTTTTCACGTAATTGATTAGGAAATCTATAATCCCTAAAATAAGTTACCATTCTTAGTGCAATTCATGACATATCTTGAGAAACACTCAAGAGATTCTTTTTCACGTGTGAAAGGGAAGGTGATACACAGGGTGTCTCATGAGGGTTTTCTCGAATGATAACTTCGGAACGCATCATTGTATGTTCCACTGTATAATTTTTTATCATTTTCTTTAACAAAGCCTCAACAAATATGGCATTGCCGATTTTGAAATTTAATTTTCTAACGAAAAATGCAATAATATACCATGAGTAACATTTGGGATTTGAAAATTGACGTCAATTGACCGAGATTGAAGCGAAAGTGGTGGAATTGGATAACAATGTTAGAAATAGCATAAAAAGCTACCCAGATCCTAAAAATTTCAATTATATCGGATGCCGCGTTCCGAAGTTATTACCTGAGGAAAACGTCATGGGAAACCCTGTATAATTCCTATGATATCTATGGACAGTCCAAAATATTCGAATACTTTTATCTGATATTATCTTGTGTATGCAAACCTCGACCGACATTCTGTTAGACAATCAAAATAAGATAATTCTTGATGTCAACTAATGTCAGCGACAAAGTAGAACAGTGGTGCATCTAAAGTTTGTTTCACCAGGGTTTGTACTTGCCACCAGCATTTGTCTTCCTTGTTTAACAAATAAAAATTGACTGAAACAAATCAATGACATCAAAAACGTTCGTCGGTTCTTAAACCAGATGTCATTCATTTTAATTTGTCAAAAAAATTGAATGTGTCATATGAATTAATCTACGACAACCCTTTCTTGTCAAGTTTCAACCCTGGTGAAACAAACTTTACATCGAAAATCTGTTCCAGGACGAGAGAGAACCTTCCTGAAGAGTATTCCCGAGAAGGACTAGTATAAGGAAGAAGTCCAACACACCATTCAGTTTTCCAAAAAGAAGAAAGCTGCAGGTCCAGACGGTGTCTACTCGGAACTTATTAAAATCCTAAAAAAATTAGGAGTCACTACACACAATAGTGAAGCTTTTCAATATGGTTTACGGATCGGGCATCTTTCCCTCTATAGCAATTATCGTCTCATTATAGCTTGATGAGCCACTTACTCAAGATTTTTCTTAAGATCATCCATAAAAAAATATGCAAAGTGCGAGTCCATCACGGGCGAATCCCAATTTGGTTTTCGTAACGGTTTTGGCACAAGAGAGGCCCTGATTAGCATCCAAATGCTAGTTCAAAGATGTAGAGATGTTTCTATTCCTGTAGACCCATACATCGTAGACTATGAGAAAGCGTTTGACAGGGTATATGAGAGGCTTATGAAAATTCTCAAGCATGTAGGCCTAGATGATAGAGACCTTCCTCAAGATAATCGCAAATCTGTACTGGAATCAGACTGCACAAATCAAGGTAGACCAACAAATGTCTAACGGAGTACGTATCAAAAGAGGTGTCTAGCAGGGTTCCATCCTTCTACCATTACTTTTCAATATTTGAAGTTTGAAGTACCATATATAACATATTTAAAATATTACAAAATCTTTACAATACAGTAACCTCCTGGGGTAGTATATGTCCAGAGTGTACAATGAATTCTCAAGGAATTTGTATGTAAGTACACTAAAATAAATAAATATCGAAAAACTCACTCAAATTTAGTATTTACATTAGAATAAACAATAAAATAACATTAAGAGCGGCGTCAGATAACCTCAGTCAGATACATGATTTTAGGCTATATTGCACGGCTATCACAGGGATATTTGATCCAAGTGGAGATTTAATTGTGACTTTTGTTTCTACAAGAGTCACATTCAAAGCTCCACTGGGATCAAATATCCCCCAGATAAAAGCCAGCGCGCCATCTCTTGGCATCTTTATGATATATTGTCCGTCGATTTTAATCTGATACTCGGACGGAATGTAATCTGGTGGCTCCCTACATTAGAACGCCAATGGTTATCTGATGTCACACCTGTTTTTGCCATATGAAACACCCCCTCGCTCCTCATACGGAAAGTATCAGTTGAAAATCGACGAACAATACATGAAATATTTTTTAATCACAGGTATGCAAATTCTCCGTAAGTGCTTGGCTTACTTACAAGTAGATGGCGACATCTTCAATATCAATTCGTTTACACAATTATATACAGTGGACTAAATAATTTGTTCAGATGCAAATTAAATAATAGTATTTCACATTATTAGCTAAATAAAATAATTTTTACTGGCATTTGGAAGAAGCGACTATGCTTCCCGAATTCAGCGACATCTTTAAGAGAAGCGCTGAACTCACGTTTGGTTTGAGTCTCTGCTGAAAATGACAGCAATCACCTCCTTGTTTGGCAGATTTTGATTAAGGCCGCGTTAATGGCCGCCATGCTTAAACTGTGATTGGTTGATTTTTCGAAACTTATTTTAAAGTCTTTAAAAAAACGGCACATCAGAATTGACTCATGCATGTTTATTAAGCTTGGATCCGTGAAAAGCAAATTTTATTGATAACCACGAAAAACTAAAAAAAGCTAATTATAGAGATCGTAGATAATATGTCAAATAATGTTTATGCCAAAGGATTTTGGAAATTATTGCGGATTTTTTGAGATGACCTTGAAACCAATTTTGAAGGTGAAAACAGTTCAAGCAATTTCAAGTAGATGGCGCCACCGCAAAAAAGATACATAAGGAGCATCATAGTTATATATTTGTCTTTCTCTGTCACTAAGTGTTTCACCGACAAACAGATTTTGTTTTGGACAAATAATAAAATATTGAACCCTATGTATAGAATGACGCCACAGTGACGCAGTCATTTTCAAAAACTAATGGCGTTTCCGATTGGTAGATCTACACCTTTTCCAATTGTAATTCAGAAAGCGTCACTTGTAATTGAGAATAGTCAAATGTAATTGAGAAACAGTCAAATGTTATTGAGAAAACGTTAAATGTAATTCATAAAGCATCAAATGAGATTCAGAATAGGTGAAATGAAATTGATACAATGAAAATTCGAAAATTTTATATACATACAAGGTGCCACAAGTTCGTCAGAATTTGTGGGGATATCGGAAACCGTAAAACATTTTGGTTGAATAATAATAATAAATAATATCAGAAACTTTATTTATTATTGAAATGAAAGTTACGTAAAATCCTAAATAAAAAACAAACAGTTCACAAAACTATCGTCCAACAAGCATTGGTTCCATAGCTAAAGCCGCCTCATAGAACGTCGTCGAATGTTGCGCAGCGCGGGCACAGTCACCATTAACTATAGTGGTTTCAGCATGGTCTACTATTTCTTCTAAATAAGCCAATCGCTCCTCTACTACTCCAGGCCCATTCAATTCTGGTACTCGTAAATTACGTTTAACATAAGTTTTTATTTTGGACCAAATGTTCTCGATGGGATTCAGCATTGGCGAATAAGGAGGTAGCCTTGAAATTGTGGCGCCTGATCCAGCTACAGCCTCCTACAATTGAGAATGACATGGTGCATTGTCGCAAACGATTACAAGGTCGACCACTGCATCTCCTGCATTCTGCCACTGAAGCAACAATCTTCTAATCCAGTCATTAGCCAGATTTGCAGTAAATGAACCCCTTCGACGTTCCATGAAAACTACGCCTGCCGTCGATATTGCTCCGATTAGGTGCAGGCAGTATTTGAACTGCCCTACTGCCCTTAACAGAACGACCCCTTGTTCTACGACAAAACAAATTAAAATTTGTTTCGTCCATCCAAATTATTTGTTTTCCATCCCTTATATAATTATTTAAATTATGAACATACTCGGCCCTTCTTCTTCGATTTTCTTCATTATTCATATTGATAGGTTCAGTATGGACTTGTTTTAGGGTAAATATTTTACCTTCTAAGTAGTTTCCTATCGTTGTAACACATACTTCTTTATTAAATTCATTTCTTATCCTATTTTTAATCTGCTGTAACGTAAATTCAACTGAATTTTCTACCCATGAAATCAAAATAGTAATTTCCTCTTCTGTCAAACATTTCGGTTTAATGCCACCTTTTTTGAACATATGAGATCTTCCAGAAGAAACCCAACGGAAAGCAGTTTTGTAATTTATGCCTAGTGTTTTGGCTAAATTTACCCAATCATCTCCACGGCTAGCGCAGGTAACAATCCTGTCTCTGTCACTATTTGTGTTTCTTTTATATTTCTTTCGCACAACAGCATTTGATTCGTCTACAGCAGCCCTACAAATAGGACAACGAGGGTTTGGGGCGTTCAGAATAGGTTCTGCACATTTTTCATGTAATAAATGAAGACGGTTGGAGTTTGACAACTTGCCTTCTCGTCATCTTCACTCGACAAATTGCACAATCGTCTTTAAGTTCCATGTTTTAAAATGTTTATCAAACTGTCCGAATTTGTTCGTCTATGAACTGTCTTTCTTTCTGTTATACGTGGTATGGGCTACTTTTGAATGGTCTAGCGTCCCCTAGTTCTATTTTGTGTTATGTTAAGTTGGTTTTGCCATTCGTTTTGTCGATTTTGCAAAAACGACATTATATTCAAGAAGTAGTTCTATTAGTGTCTGTTTAATTTCCTCGTTTGGAATTCCGTCTACTTTATGGTCATCTAACGTTACTTCTTCGTTTTCCTTCGTTAACAATTTAAGTGCATATTTGCATTTTCTAAATATTGGCTCTAATAAATTTTTATAAGAAAGATTATCTATTTATTTTCCCATAGCCCATGCTGCACTTTGGATACGAAGTATTTCTATTTATAATAATCTTATACTTTATTATAAAGCACACAAAAGTTTATCCAATATAAGACCATTAATAAATAATTAGTACTGTAAATAAAGTGTTGTATAAATCTGATTTCTTTTGTTTGCAGCTATTGTACTTACCTACTAAGATAAGAACTTTTTCAGATATATTTCTTATTATTGCTATCTATGAAATATTTCTTTTAGTTTCGTGTTAGATTCTCTTAGAGAGAGAATTTCTATATTAACAAAAAAATCGGTAAATGTAAAAAAATTGTTGAAGTTATTTATTCATAAAAATGGGTGTCAAAAAAGAAAATAATGATGAAAATAATTTCACTTTGGAAGCACCAGATGGAGGCTGGGGATACATGATTGTTTTAGCTACAGTTATAATTTATGTAAGTCGAATAAATAGATTCTATATTTTCAAATTTCATCGAAGACTACTTATATGCAATTTTGTGCATTTTAATGTCTATGCTTATGTGATTTTCATATTCTCTCATTAACTCTAAAATAGACTTTCAACGACTTTCTATAGTCAGGAAAATCTATTCATTTCATAAGTGTGAAAGTAAAAGAAACACCTTTTAAGGGCAAAGCTATAATAACCTCATTTTCTGGATAAGGTCATTTACAAGGTTTAAGAGTGGGCATTCCATTATTCAAAAGTTTCTTTTTGGGTCATGCAAAATGATTTCTTCTTACCCTAATCACAACTTTTTATAAGGTACAAGTAACGTAACAGCATCTTTTCTTGAAGCAAATTATTTAGAATTGCAAAAAAAGGCACTCTACATAAATCAATCTACATGATATTTGATGGATACTGAAAATTAATTTCAAATCCCGATATAGGTACGCATATATTGTGATTTTAGGGCGCAACTATTATTCCTATGACATCATTTGGACTAGTTTTTGGAAATTTTCTACAATCAATTGGAGATGAAACCACAGGAACCACTTTGACTAATGGCATTTTTAATACCGTTAATTCTTTCACAGGTAAATTAAGTGTTGAAATCAATATTGTGGAAACTGAGGATTATTTTTAGGTCTTCTTGCCAATGGATTACTGAACAAATTCTCCTACAGAATGGTTGGATTTGTAGGTGCTATTATATTCACTTTGGGAGCCGTGGGACTGATATTTGCCCAGAACTTGTATCAAATGATTATATTTTTTGGTGTAGTACAAGGTAGGTGATGACGATTCAATCAACTTTTAATCAATCGCTATGAGCTAATTGAAAATTACGTTGGACAATTCGTATTCCGTAGATTATTATATTAAATTGAATAAATGAATAATGGCACACATACCGGCAAAATTAGGGGAACGGACAAAATTTACACTAAGTTTGACATCCATTTTCTTGAACCCTTCGCTCGATTTTGATGTATTTTTCACAAATTGTAGCTTGATTCTTCACAAATACATCTGACATATTATCGCTATTATTGAATTCATCATTATAACATATACAGGGATGGAAAGAAAGTCAGTAAATTTCAGAATTTTTTGAGACACCCTGGATATGAAAATGGGTCGTTTTCTATCTTGGAATAGTTTGTGTGAATTTTTACTTCAAGTTGAAGATTTCTCACAGTTTTACCTCTTATCCATCCATTTTTTTGTGAAAAGAATGCTCAAAAATATACAGGGGTGAGCAAAAAGTTCCATGCATTCATGTTTTCCATTTGCTGAAATGTTATTGATCTCAAAGTTAACTCTCCCTTCACACTTAACTCACGTCAAGGACTTTTTCAATTTATCCTTCAACAGACCTCGCCATATTATTTTTTCAAGAAAAATCCCGAATTTTCACCTTGACAGCAGCTCATTATTAGTAGACTTGGGAGCCAATTGCTAAATAAATCACAATAACAATAATTTAACGAACAATAACGATTTGAAATAGCAGACCAGGAAAAATAAATCTTTTAATAACGCGTCTGTCTCCACGCGCCCTAATGACAGATTCTCCCAGGTCTCAACCAGAGCAGCTGCTACTTGTTCCGGATTTTGAACTACAGCAATTCTGGACCTTAACCGTCATCCCAATATGTCCCAGACAAGTTTGATCGGATAAAGATCTGGGAAACATTCAGGCCAATTCATTGCCCTTATTCCGAGGCACGTGAGAGCGAACATTGTCGTGCATTAGCAGAAAGTTTTCTCCGATGTGTAGGTCGAATGGTATGATATGGTAAAATATCTTGTATGTATCCATCTGTATTTAAAGCGCCATTACAACTACCAATTTTGATCGTGCCCTAAACATATCTCATTACTGAACCTCTAGTATAGAAAACACGACAGTTGCAGTGGAATTAAATTGTTCATCTTGTTCTCCTTGGCAGCGACATAATCTTTCCCTGCCATCGATCGAATTAATGCAAAAGCGGCTCTCAACCGTAAAAAGAACGTTGGTGCAATCGTCATATTCCCAATTTTCCTGCTTCCTAGCGTAGTGAAGTCTCGCCACTCGATGACGGTGCTTGAGTTTTGGAGCTTTCTTTATTCTATAGGCCTTCAAACCAATTTCTGTGAGCCTTCTGTTGATGATTCGATGACTTGTTCTCCTCCCACGTACTTCTTCCAGTTTTCTTTTATTACCCCATAGTTATGTCCAACAATCCCTATGCCACTTTTAAAAGCACACACCCTTGAAAATTTGTGTTGCACCCTCTCTAAAGAAATCATGTGGACCTGAAAGTACGGTGACCAAACCACTGAGCAATATTCTAGAAAAGATCCTACCAGAGAACAGTAGACCGCATCCGACTGGCCTTCACCGAGAAATATTGCCAATTTCTTATCACAAAGCCTAACATTTTTGATCCCTTCAACAGAGACAGAATTAATTTGTTCAATAAATGAAAACCTATTCAGTCCAAAACAACCCCTAAGTCCTTAACTGAAGAAACATATTAGATTAGATTAATATTGGGGTGTTGTTGCACTGCGACCTAAAGATCTATTGTGCCCCCTGCTGAAGCCGATTTGATGTGGATCTCAAATCATAGTACTTCGTCCAGTCCTATGGCCTTGATGAGGGCTAGTAACTGGTACGGTGTCAAGGATGGTATGTCTCCTTCTAAAACTATATAGTCACCGAGATGTGTAGCCCGGCTTCTAGCGACGGCTTCGCATACGCTTAGTAGGTGTTCTGGAGTTTCTTCCTCCTCCCCGCAAAACCTGCATTCACTGAATCTCTCGAGTAGCATTTTCCTGCGGTGCCCTGTCATAAACCCTGTAAGAATTCTTAGTTTAGTTTTACTTAAATTTACTAGAGCTTTAGATTTTTTGAGATTGAAGATTCCAAGGAATATCTTAGAGTGTCTCAGTCCCGGAAGGTCGTCCCAGAGGCGAGCTCTTAAGTCGTCTTCCATTTTCTTAAGCTCCGCTGTATAAGTGTTTTTACCTTTACCGCAAAAAGGCTCCGGTCCTACAAACGGGGAACCGGATCCTTTCTTTGCCAAGGTATTGGCTTCTTCGTTACCTTCTACTCCTGCGTGTCCAGGCCAGTGGCGTAACTACAGGGAGGCCTGGGGGGGCCGGGCCCCTCCCAGAAGTCGCTAGGCCTCCCCTTTAATGATTTGGTATTTTATGAAAGCTACGTTACCTATTATAATTTTATGTTATTACCTACTAAATTTGAACGGTAATGCACGGCGATCCCGGTTTAGTCAGCTAATTGCCTATAATTGCACTGTTTTACTTTTTTAAAGATTCCAATAAGTCGCAATAACAGGCCCTAGGCCACTGGCCCCAACTACAAGGGGGCATTGGGTCAAGTGCTGCATGAGCAACCTCTCATGGGTGCTCGGAGCTTTCGTAGAGAATGTGAAAGTACAAACGTATTTGATGGTCATTCCGTTCTGTGTGGTAGTATCAGTATCATGTATTACACTATAAAATAGACGTTTTTAGGCGTGGCATCCGGAAAAAAATTTTCGCCTACGGCGAGCTTCCCGCTCCCGCTCTAAACAAGTTTATGAAAATATTATCCTGGCGCCTATGAGGACTTTCAAAAATCGGCGCCTTTGCCAGGCTCACCCTAGGCCCCCCCCAGGTCAGATGGCCAGTGGTCCAGGCACCCATAGTAAAGTGACTTTATTTTTCTTTCCTACCTCATTTAGTTTCCCTAGGCAATCCCGTACTATCTTAGAACTGATGACATATGAACTCAGTGCCATTATGGCCGATTGACTGTCGGTGAATATTGCAATATCTTGCTTGAGATAGTTCCTGTTTAGGATCATTTGAGCACATCTGTCAATGGCATATGTATTTCCGCCTGAAAGACACTGGTGTATTTACCCAGTGACTCAAAATATTTGGTGCGAGGCCCAAATACTCCAGCTCCTGTTCCTTTGTCGGTTTTTGAACCGTCCGTGTACCATTTAATGGTGTTTTCTTTGAGAGATTCGGTGATCTTGCCGCTTTCCCAGTCGCTTTTATTATCAATCCTTGAAAAGACAGATACTCAAGAGGTTGATTCTTTATAACATATTCAGTTTGAATCTTATTAATCTTCCTAGAAAAACTTATATAACAGCATTTGTCCACATTTAGAGACAGCCTATTTACCCCACACCACACGGACAAACAATCCAAATCCTCCTGCAAAAGATTCTGGTCAACAATAATTTCAATTGTTCTCTAAAATTTTGAGTCATCTGCAAATTTTTCGAATTCACTGATTTTGAAACATTCATTCCAGCATTCACAGACGTTATTTCGCGCGGTTTATCGTGCCATCTGCAAAAACCTGTGAAAAATCATGTGCGTGAGTGAGGAGGGCTGCACGCAATGATAGAATGGGAAGCGATTTCACACGTGCTTTCATGTGGAATGTGACGTCATTACTACTAGTACGAAAATATGAACGTAGCGTCGCAAACTATCACGTTGAAAATTAGTACATGACCACGTGCACTTTCAAATGACACGACAAATGACACTTTTTGCATACACACATACGATTTTTCCTTTGAAACTGATATGCCCCACGTAATCCCATGCTAAATCATGTGAATACTTTGTCTATTGTATGGAACATGACGCTTTTTTTTGCCACGCTGTTCTTTCGCGCATGCTAACCGCCACATCCCAACATCCCATTAAACACGCGAAATAACGTGCGTGTATGCCGGCCTATTGACAAAAATATTAAAAAGTAAAGGTGGCCAGTGAACGCCTTAAGGAACTCCCGATGTAACGGAAACTACCTCTGAAAAGCAACAACCTACTTTGACAAATTGAGCACGACTTGTCAACGCGCTAACGCAAACATACTCTTTCAGGAGTTTGATTATTGTTATCTAAATAAATGGTCTGAAAAAATTCTTCAAATATATCGGCTATATCTTCCCCAGTCGAAGCAGTCCGCTCTCCATAAGAGAGTGAGCTTGGGAGACTGTGAGCAGATATTTTGTCATTGATGAACTTCCAAAATGACTTGGGATTATCCTTAAGCCTCTCGTCAAAATCCCTTATATAATTGAAAAAGCACTCATCCGACAGCCTCTTACATTAAACCCGTGAATCCGAAAACTTCTGATAATTGAAATATGAACGATCTCTGATAATTAAGGAATGAGCATTTCTTTTCTGATGAGTCAATTTTTTTAAATCTGATGAAAACCATTTAGGGAATGTAGATGTTCTAGGGTATATCTTTTCAATGGGAAAAAGTATGCAATACCTGTGGTCCACAGTTCGTAGAAAATATTAAAAGAAGCATTAACATCATTTTTACATAGACCTATATTAAAATATTCATGCTATTTGATCAATGCTAAGAAGTTATTAAGTTCTCTGTAGTTTGCATTTTTAAAATCATAATAAAATTCTTCATAAGATAGTTAAATTGGTATTTTTAAATGTACGAGTAGGGTTTCAAAATTTTCAAGAAATTTCTTGTTCTTGACTTGATCTCGACTTGAATTCAAGAAAATTTCAAGTCAAGAAATCTGAAACTGTTTTCAAGACAAGTCAAGATTCCCTATTTCAAGATCAAGATTTCTTGTCAAAAAATCAAGAAATTTCTTGAATGTCTTGGAATTAACAGTTTTATTTATAAGTGGCTGATACAAAAATAATGCATATTAAGCCGGAGTCTCATGCATCCGTCTCCCGATGAAAGATGTCCGAAAAATTTTCTATTTTGACATATTTTCATACGATTAT